CCTGCACCTGCACCTGCATCTATTCTATTCTATTCTATTCTATTCTATTCTATTCTATTCTATTCTATTCTATTCTATTCTATTCTATTCTATTCTATTCTATTCTATTCTATTCTATTCTATTCTCTCTAAATGTAGATCGATGCAATAATTTTGTCAAATTGCTACTTATGGCCATGAGACTTCGACTCTGAAAAAGGTCGATTAGGAGAAGGGTGGATGCCTTTGATCTGTGGGGCTGGAGGCAACTATTATGCATCCCATGGACTGCATGAAGTCCTAGACTGAACGTCACTTGAAAATACTAGGGGGACCTTTGCACAGGTTCGCCTGGTGCACCAATTACGACCCTACTTGGATCGGGAGGCTCTCCTCACGGTCACTCATGCCCTTGTCACCTCACGGTTAGATTATTGCAACGTGCTCTACATGGGGCTACCCTTGAAAAGTGTTCAGAGACTACAGTTGGTCCAGAACACAGCCGTGCGAGCTGTCGTAGGTGCACCTAGGTACACCCACATTACACCAATTCTCCGTGAGCTGCACTGGCTCCCTATTGGTCTCCAGTCACAATTCAAGGTGTTGGTTATTACCTTTAAAGCCCTACATGGCTCAGGGCCAGGGTATCTTCGAGACCACCTTCTACCGCATAGCTCCCAATGACCGGTAAGATTTATTTATTTATTTATTTATTTATTTATTTATTTATTTATTTATTTTATTTAAATTTCTATACTGCCCTACTCCCGAAGGACTCAGGGCGGTGAACAGCCACAGGATAAAACACATACATACAAAAGTTTAAAATAAAATAAAAACGAATTAAATAATTTGGCTGAATTTAAAATACCCCATAATTTAAAAACAAATTAAAAAATGTAAGATCCCACAGAGTTGGTCTCCTCCGGGTCCCATCAGCTAAACAATGCTGGCTGGTGGGCCCGCGGGGGAGGGCCTTCTCTGTGGCTGCCCCAGCTCTCTGGAACCAGTTACCTCCTGAGGTCCGGACCATCCCCACTCTATTGGCCTTCCGAAAAGCGGTGAAGACCTGGATTTTCCACAGGCCTGGGGCCATTGATCTTGCTCTTGCGATCCGGCAAGATCCAGCCATGAATGGTGTATGAGTTTTAATGTTTTTAATGTTTTTAATTTTTAAATGTTCCTTATAATGATTTTAAATGCATTGTGAGCCACCCTGAGTCTTCGCAGAGGGGCGGCATACAAATTGAATAAATAAAGAAATAAATATTCTATTCTACTCTATTCTTATCCTATTCTATCCTATCCTATTCTATCCTATCCTATTCCATTGATTATTCTATTCTATTCTAGAAATGAGGTCTGCCTTGCAATCTCAAAGCAGCTTGGAAAGAATGCCGCCTTATTCAAAACTTTGCTAAATAACCTGGATTGTCCAAAACTTCCGGAAACAAAATTGTCCTAATGGATGTGATGGCTGCAATATTACAGCAAGTGGGAAGATAGTTTCATTTCCTCCTTTCCAGGCATTTGACGAATGCAAGCCTTACAGGCTCAGTGAGAAAAGTTTTGTGCAACAGCAGCATGGAATGTCTGTGAAATCCTCGACTCTTTCTGGAAGTCACACCCAGTTTCAGGAGCTGTAGTAAAATGCCAAAGGCACAGTTCCCGATTGCTAAACCGGATGCTTGAGAGATACTCTTTCCTGTTTTATTTCTCCCGCTCTGAACTGGTTACCGTAATTGTGGGAGTTGCATTAATGGCATGTTGGAATTCCCAGCAACCAGCTTCGGTTCACACTCAATCAAGGGTAAATAAATAAAGATTATTTTTCTTGTTGTAATAGAAGTTTTGTTTTTCTCCTAACTAAGCCTGATTTTTTTTTTACAGACCTAGAAATACTAATACTCTGATAGGTTATCCACATGAAATCTTAGGTTGATTTTTCACATGAGTAGGGGAGAGGATGAATCTAGTTAACCTAGTCTAGGTTTTCTGCAGTTTGGGTGTCTTGTACCAACTATGCTGTAATGTTGTGGTTCGATGGGTAGATTTTATATATATTTTTCCTGTTTTAATTGTATATTTTTTTCCCCCTGTTTTCCAAATTATGGAGAGGAAATTGTTCAGCAGCCGCTACTCTTGGAACCCTAATATGTAAAGTGTTTATCTTAGATTCCTTTTCAGAGCAGAGAAGACGAGGCAAGATCTTGGTTGGTAAAAGCAACATCTGGTGATGATTATTGATGATGTGTGACAAAAGATAGAATGATAGATAGATAGATAGATAGATGGATGGATGGACAGGTAGGTAGGTAGGTAGGTAGGTAGGTAGGTAGGTAGGTAGGTAGGTAGGTAGATAGATAGATGGATAGATAGATAGATAGATAGATAGATAGATAGATAGATAGATAGATAGATAGATAGACAGACAGACAGACAGACAGACAGACAGATACCATATTTTTTGGAGTATAAGACACACCTTAGTTTTTGGAGAGGAAAATAAGAAAAAAGCTGATTGGCAGGTGGATCGGCCTCCTGGAATACCCCCAATCAGCTGTTCCCAGAGGTGAATTTTAACAACAGGTTCATTGGCTGTGAGCTCTGTGCCTTGCTTTTTTTTCTGTCTCCGAAAGCCTCTGAAACAGAACCTCAGAAAAAAAGCCTCTGAAACTTCCTTTCAGAGGCTTTTTTTCTGAAGCTCTGTTTGGAGGCTTTTTTTTCTGAAGCTCTGTTTGCAGGCTTTTTTTTCTGAAGCTTCGTTTCTGAGGCTTTTTTTCTGAAGCTCAGTTTGGAGACTTTTTTTCTGAAACTCTGTTTGGAGGCTTTTTTTCTGAAGCTTCATTTCTGATGCTTTTTTCAGCCTCTGAAACCTCCGTTTGAGAGGCTGGGCGGGGCTACATTTGGAGTATAAAACGCACCCAGATTTTCACCCTCTTTTTTGGGGGGAAAAAGGTGCGTCTTATACTCCAAAAAATACAGTAGATGGATGGATGGATGGATGGATGGATGGATGGATGGATGGATGGATGGGATAAATAAATAGAATAGGATAGATAGATAGATAGATAGATAGATAGATAGATAGATAGATAGTTAGATAAGGATGGATAATGGATGGATGAATGGATGAGATAGAATAGATAGAAAGAGAGAGAGAGAGAGAGAGAGATACTGTAGATGGATGGATGGATATAATAGATTACATTATATTATTTATTATATCTATAAGTATATATATATACATATACATACATACATACATATATATATATATATATATATATATATAATTTGTTTTCTCAGGTTTTCGCGGGTGTTTGTATGTAGGTCTTTGGTTATTCGGGTCTTCTCCCACGTAAAATTGGAAGTGTCTTGGGAAGAGACAGCTGCGATCTCACATTGCTCCTGGAAGCACGAAGCCGAGAACACCAGCCTGAAGATGACGAATGAGACTCCGTCGAGCTATTTTTAGTAGCAGTGAAAAAGAAAGGAACCCTTTCTCCCTTTCTCTGCTCATCCTGCCTTTCCTTCCCACTTAGCTGAATTAGCAAAGAAAGAGTCCTGGTTCATTTCTTTTTCCATACTTTACTAATCTGGCTACAGATTAGAGCAGGCAGAATCTGTTGGCTTTTGGCATGAAAATGATGCAGTTTAATTTTCCCTTTTCTCCTGGCCATCCCCCTGTTATCAGTCAAGGTCTGATTTAAAGTTCTCAGATTGTTTGGGGATTTGGATCCTGCATTTGCGTCATTCCCATATCTTCCTTTTGCTGACCTTGTGCTTGACTGGTGCTCCTCCTAGTCAGGGCTGGCTGTGCTTCAATCCCCCTTCCCCGCTAACCATCCATATTCCAATCTCTCCCCCCTCCCACCATTGCAAATGTCAGGCTGGCAAAATGCAAGGCAAAGCAAGCAGCAGAAGGGCAGCCATAACAAAGCAGAAGAGCCTTGGTAGCGCAGCAGACTAAAGCACTGTTAAGTAACACCAGCTGCCTGCAATTACTGCAAGTTCAAATCTCACCAGGCTCAAGGTTGACTCAGCCTCCCATCCTTTCGAGGTAGGTAAAATGAGGACCCAGTTTGTGGGGGCAATAAGCTGACTTTGTATAAAAAAGAACACCGTTTGGGGGGCGGAGGGGGGCAAAAGCCCTACTAAGCAGATATATACAAAAGTATGAAGGCTATTGCTTAATGCATTGTAAGCCGCCCTGAGTCTCTGGAAAAGGGCGGCATATAAATTGAACCAATAAATAAATAAATAAATAAATAAATAAACAGCAGGCCTGCAATCTGCCACACCGATCCAAGCACTGATGAGATTTACCTAGTTAGGGTAATGAAACGTTTGCAAGAAAACAAGCAGGCTCAGAGAGCACCAAGGACCCCTCAATCTGCCACAGATGATCCAGAGTGCCCCCTTGAAGGACATCTGCTTTGGACCACATGTCAACCAAGTTCTGATTTGGTTAGTATTTTTTTTTTTAACTTGATTTATACGCCGCCCTTCTCTGGAGACTCAGGGCGGTTTACAATGTGTTAAGCAATAGCCTTCATACTTTTGTATATTTATACAAAGTCAGCTTATTGCCCCCACAAACTGGGTCCTCAATTTACCTACCTTAGAAAGGATGGAAGGCTGAGTCAACCTTGAGCCTGGTGAGATTCGAACTTACAGTAGTTGCAGACAGCTGGTGTTAATCACAATGCTTATCAGTCTGCTGCGCCACCAGGCCCACCAGTATTGATTTAGTGAGTACCAAGACATTTCAGACTAGACTTGGAAGTCAGATATGGACCAGCGGTGAAATCCTCCATTGCCACCGGTTCGCTGTCCACGCATGTGTGGTGCATGCCAAATGCACACTGCGCGTGCATGCACAGTACACACCAAATGAATGCTGCACATGCGCAGTGCACACCAAACACACACTTTGCACGGAAAAAGGAGCCGTTTGAAGGTAAGTGGAACAGCGAGGGGTGGGGGACAGCTGTGCCGTGCAATTTAGATTTGCTAGAAAGCAGGATTTCCTGCTTTCTACCAATTTTAAATTACGTGGCACAGCTGATTGTTGGAAATGCCGGTTCAGATCAGAGGTGGGTTTCAGCAGGTTCTGACCAGTTCTGGAGAACTGGTAGTGGAAATTAATGAGTAGTTTGGAGAACCGGTAGTGGAAATTTTGAATAGTTCAGAGAACCGGTAAATATCACCTCTGACTGGCCCTGCCCCCATGTATTCTCTGCTTCCCAAATCCCAGCTGATTGGGAGGAAATGGGGATTTTGCAGTAACTTTCCCCTGGAGTAGGGAGGGAATGGATATTTTACAGTATCCTTCCCCTGCCACGCCCACCATGCCACGCCCATCAAGTCATGCCACGCCTACCAAACCAAACCCACAGAACTGGTAGTAAAATATTTTGAAACCCACCACTGGCTCAGATGAACCAGTAGCTTTTATTTCTACCAGTTCGCACGAACTGGTGCGAACCGGTAGCATTTCACCCATGATATGGACAATTGTAAGGACATTTTGAAACCAGCATTTTTGGCACGTCGAACATTTTAATTCAGATCTATTTATAGATGGCTCCCTGTCTTAAATACACAGCTCTGGGCCGCTAACAATGAAGAACAGAAAACAATAAAATGATTTGTAAGCCACACAAATAGCAGCCAAGCAAGCAATCTACAATGCTAATAAATCATCCTAATGGACACAACCAGGAAATGGGGCTCGCCAACATCATAAGGCCTCCAGGCTTGATTGCAAAAACCAGCTCTTGAAGGATTTGCAAAACATCAGGAGGGTCAGGGAAACTCTGATTTGTGGGGAAAATTACTCTAAGCATCTTTAGATAAGTGTGTGTACGTGTGTGTATGTGAGAGAGAGAGTGGGGGGAGAAATCCATTAGGTCATTAGAAACTACCAAAGAAAATTGAGCTATATATACCAATTAAAAAAACCACCCACCAATTATAACAATTGAACCTACTGTTCTTCATTTGAATAGCACTCAAAACTCAGGAGCTCCGTCTTTGAACCAAAGATGTATTTATTTTTCTTTGACGGGAGTAAGAAGAGAGAAGAAGCAAAGTCTAACATTTTTAAAAGCAAACCTTCCATTTAAAAATGTGATAATCACTGTTCTTAATGCTGAGTCTATTGTCTGGAACTGCGGGTATGCCTCTCCTGCGTTTATGCCTCCCAGCCTGTTTGAAAAAGCTGTTTTAAAAAACCCCTGGAAATGTTATATATGAATGTATTTGTCCTCTTCTGGAAGTGGAAAACTTTTTTAAAAATTGTGTTCTTTCTTTTACTGCTGTCAGTAAGCCCAGCGTCTTATGAAGTTGGTTGGCCTCTAAATTTAATAAACAAATAAATAAAAAAAAGGGGGAATGAGAAAATCACGGCATTAAAAGGCCACCGAAATGTAATCAATAAAATCCATCCGTCAGAGTCTATTTTTTAAAAAAGAGATCACCTTATTCACTGGATCCATTACCTTTATCCTATAAATAAATTTCACAGTCTGGTGTGTTACGCAATTTCCCTAGCGGGGAATTTCTCTCTCGCTTTGCAAATATACTCCAATTGCAGAATGACACATGAGCCCATGAATGTTTATGTAATTGCTGCTTGCTAATAACAAAGAGCGAGTGTTGTTTGGGGGAAAATTTGGGAGCTCCTAAATAGAAGCTGTTTTACGGTGTGGTTTTTAGGTCAGACTATTTAAGCTCCGGATTTAAACAGAGGAGTTACTATTCTAAGACACGTTCATTCATATATTTTTCTGGCTGGTGGCTTCTCCCTAGGATTTTATAAAGGAGCCTATAAACTGATAGGGTGGGCACTAGTGGTGAAATCCAAATATTTTTACTACTGGTTCTGTGGGCGTGGCTTGGTGGGCATGGTGTGACTTGGTGGGCGTGGCTTGGTGGGCATGGCAGGGGAATGATACTGCAAAATCTCCATTCCTTCCCCACTGCAGGGAAAGGATACTGCAAAATCCCCATTCCCTCCCCACTCCTGGGGGAAGGATAGTGCAAAATCTCCATTCCCTCCCCACTCCAGGGAAAGTATACTGCAAAATCCCCATTCCTTCCCCACTCCTGGGGGAAGGATACTGCAAAATCCCCATTCCAACCCCATTCCAGAGAAAGGATACTGCAAAATCCCCATTCCCTCCCCACTCCTGGAGAAAGGATATTGCAAAATCTCCATTCCCACCCCACTCTGGGGCCAACCAGAGGTGGTATTTGCCAGTTCTCAGAACTACTCAAAAATTCTGCTACCGGTTCTCCAGAACCTGTCAGAACCTACTAGATTTCACCCCTAGTGGGCACTCTATAGGAAGGAAGTGCTCCTTATGTGGGGGTGGACCATTGCTGAAAAGATAGAGAGAGAGACTGCTATATATAAAAAGAATAGAATAGAATAGAATTCTTTATTGGCCAAGTGTGATTGGACACACAAGGAATTTGTCTTTGGTGCATATGCTCTCAGTGTACATAAAAAGAAAAGATACGTTCGTCAAGAATGATAAGGTACAACACTTAATGATAATCATAGGGTACAAATAAGCAATCGAATCATACTAGGAAACAATATCAGTATAAATTGTAAGGATACCAGCGACAAAGTTACAGTCATACAGTCATAAGTGGAAGGAGATGGGTGAAGGAAACGATGAGATTAATAGTAATGCAGACTTCGTGAATAGTTTGACAGTGTTGCAAGAATTATTTGTTTAGCAGAGTGATGGTGTTCGGGAAAAAACTGTCCTTGTGTCTAGTTGTTCAATTTACGTCCAGGATCTGAGGGGTCTGTAGATATTTTCACAGCCTTCTTTACATATGGTATATAAGACATATATAACTGTAATTATCAGTTGAGGGTTGCCTGTACATCAGGTTGTCAATCTCCCTCCTTCCCAAAGAAATCATATTGATTTCAGCACCAAAGCTGTTTTTGTATGTGGGTGTGTGTGAATTAATTAGCTCTTCAATTCAGGAATGTTAAATAGGTCGGAAAAACTGAAGGATCTTGACTCCGTCATTCTCAGAGTATGAAAAAAAAGGGGGGGGCACCATCAGAAAGGCATCCTATTATAGAATCCTAGGGCTGGATGGGACCGTGGAGGTCTTCTAGTCCAACCCCTTACCCAAGACAGGAGACCTTATAGCATTCCCTACCAAATGATTGTCTAATCTTTTCTTGAAAACATCCAGCGATGGGGCAGCCACCACTCCAGGAGACAAGCTTCTCACTGTCAAGAAATTCCTTATTGGCTCTGGAAATAATGCCACTTTTACCAGTATAATGCCAGCTTTACCTGCTCCAACCTAACCAAGCTGTTGGGGAGATCGCCATCGGGGATCCATGGAGGCATTGAACTAATGGCCCTAATTTTTTTTTTTTTTTAAAGAGAGCACCTTGGGCTCTCCAAGCCAGACAGAATACAGTATAGAATACAGAATAGAGTTGGAAGGGACCTTGGAGGTCTTCTAGTCCAACCCCCTGCTCAGGCAAGAGACTGTACCATTTCAGACAAATGGTTGTTCAACCTCTTCTTTAAAACTTATAGTGTTGGAGCATTTACAACTTCTGGAGGCAAGTTGTTCTACTGGTTAATTATTTTAACTGTCAGGAAATTTCTCCTTAGTTCTAGGTTGCTTCTCTCCTTGATTAGTTTCCATCCATTACTTCTTGTCCTGCTTTCAGGTGCTTTGGAGAATAGCTTGACTCCCTTTTGTTTGTGGCAGCCCCTGAGATATTGGAACTATTGGTGAAATAAGACAGTGGAATGCCTGATCCCTAAAAATTACTCTCCAGATTTCAGGAAGCTCTTAATCCTTCATTTTGAACCAATTCTAACTCTGTCATTTGCAGATTTTCATCAAACCTCCCTCCTTCCTCCACTTTATTTTAAATCCAGCTTTTCGGTGAGAATTGATGAACAATTGTGTGTTGCTGCCCACTAAGGATACGCCTCCCTCCCGTTTTTCAAAAGAGGGAGAGAAGATTTTAGATCATTCCATGACTAATATTATTGTTGTTGTCTACAATATGATTCTTGATGAACGTATCATTTATGTACACTGAGAGCATATGCACCAAGACAAATTCCTTGTGTGTCCAACCACACTTGGCCAATAGAAAAATCTATTCTATTCTATTCTTCTTATATATAGCAGTCTCTCTCTATATATTTTCAGCAATATATAGGAAGGAGCACTTCCTTCCTATAGGGTGCCCACCAGGGGTGAAATCCAGCAGGTTGCTAAACGGAAGCTGTTTTGCAGTTGCAATTCGGTTTTTTTTTTTTAATGGATACTTTTTACTAAAAGAAGATTTCATAAGTTTTTGAATACTAGACTAGACTAGAATAAGAGAGTTGGAAGAGACATTGGAGGACATCTAGTCCAACCCCCTGCTTAGGCAGGAATCCCTCTACCAATGGCAGAGAAATGGTTGTCCAATCTGTTCTTAAAAACTGCCCATCCCCAGGTGAGAAACCCGGCTGGGATTAGAAGCAACGGACCGGGCCGGGCGCTCGGCTCCTTCCCCCGCTTCGAAGCGCAGCCTTTCCCAGCCGGATACTTTGCGCAGGGAGCGAAAGGGGCGCGCGGGGGCGACCGAGCTCCCCCGCCAGGCCAGGAAGAAGGCGGGGAAGGCGGTGAGACTCCGCCTCGGAGCCCCGCAGGTCTTCGCTTTCGTTCCGGAAGGGGAAAAGAGCTGCGGCCGAGAAGGACTTTCTGCACCCGCCCGGGAAGAGGCGTCCCGCTCCTGCTGCTGCTTCTGTCCCCGGACAACCCTCCTTCCAATTCCTGATCCCGCGGTTGGAGTTTCGCTTTTGCCAGGTAGGGAACGGCGGGATGGCGGGATCGCGGGAGGGGGGGGGGGGCTGGGGGCTGGGACTCCGGAGCCTGGCTGGGAGGCAGGCAGGCAGGCAGGGCAGACGGACAGACCGACAAGCGGACAAGCGGGGAGACAGACAGGAAGACAAGCAGGCAGCAGGCAGGCAAGAAGACAGACAGACAGACAGAAGGAAGGCAGCAGGAGCAGAAAGATAGGCAAGAAGACAGACAGACAGACAGGCAAGAAGCTAGGAGGCAGGCAAGAAGACAGACAGACAAACAAACAGGAAGGCAAGAAGACAGACAGACAGGCAAGAAGACAGGAAGGCAGGCAAGAAGACAGACAGACATACAAGAAGGCAGGCAGGCAGCAGGAAGGCAAGAAGACAGAGAGGTAGGCAGGCAAAAAGACAGACAGCCAGGATGACAGGGCAGGCAGCAGGAAGGCAAGAAGACAGACAGACAGGCAGGAAGGCAAGCAGTTAGCAGGCAGGCAAGAAGACAGACAGACAAACAAAACAGACAGGCAAAGCAGGCAGAGAAGGCAAGAAGACAGACAGACAGAGGCAAGAAGACAGGAAGGCAGGCAAGAAGACAGACAGACATACAAGAAGGCAGGCAGGCAGCAGGAAGGCAAGAAGACAGAGAGGTAGGCAGGCAAAAAGACAGACAGACAGGATGACAGGCAGGCAGCAGGAAGGCAAGAAGACAGACAGACAGGCAGGAAGGCAAGCAGTTAGCAGGCAGGCAAGAAGACAGACAGACAAACAAACAGGAAGGCAGCAGGCAGGCAAGAAGACAGACAGACAGGCAAGAAGACAGGAAGGCAGGCAAGAAGACAGACAGACATACAAGAAGGCAGGCAGCAGCAGGAAGGCCAGAAGACAGAGAGGTAGGCAGGCAAAAAGACAGACAGGCAGGAAGGCAGGCAGGCAGCAGGAAGGCAAGAAGACAGACAGACAGGCAGGAAGGCAAGCAGTTAGCAGGCAGGCAAGAAGACAGACAGACAGACAGAAGACAGGCAGGAAGGAAGGCAAGCAGGCAGAAGACAGACAGGCAAAAAGGCAGGCAGGCAGGCAGGCAGGCAATCTGGAAAGGGACGCGAGTGTCTGGGGCAGAGCCAAAGCAGCAGGGGGACGCTGGACAGCGCAGCCCAGCTTGGGTCGGGGAGCCTCCGGAGCGCGAGAGGTTCCTCCCTTCAGGCCAACATGGCTGTTGGGCGGACGGGCGAGGGGAAGAGGGAGCCCTGCCAAGCCTTGGGCGGAGTTCCTGGCGGAGAAGCAGAGCGGAGCCTCGGCCTTTGTCCGGGCAGGTTTCGTGCGCGGTTGCCTTTGCAAGAGTCTCGGAATCCTGACGAACCCGGCACCTCCTGCTGGCTTTCCCCAGCCAGGGTCTCCAACGTGCGCCCCCACCCCCGAGCTCTCCCTCCGTCTCCACGTCTTTCGGGCTACGCTCGCCCCGCAACTTTAAGTCGGGTGCTGAATAAATTCCTTTCTCGGGCTTGGCTTCGGGTTGTGCGACTGCCAAGACATCATTATTATTTCTTCTTCTTCTTCTTCTTCTTCTTCTTCTTCTTCTTCTTCTTCTTTCTTCTTCTTCTTCTTCTTCTTCTTCTTCTTCTTCTTCTTCTTCTTCTTCTTCTTCTTCTTCTTCTTCTTCCTCCTCTTCCTCCTCTTCCTCCTCCTCCTCCTCCTCCTCCTCCTCCTCCTCTTCTTCTTTTCTTCTTCTTCTTCTTCTTCTTCTTCTTCTTCTTCTTCTTCTTCTTCTTCTTCTTCTTCTTCCTCTTCCTCTTCCTCTTCCTCTTCCTCTTCCTCTTCTTCTTTTTCTTTTTCTTTTTCTTTTTCTCCATCTCCTTCTCCTTCTCCTCCTCTTCCTCCCCTCTCCCTCCTCCTCCTCCTCTCCCTCCTCTTCCTCCTCCTCCTCTTCTTCTTCCTCCTCTTCCTCCTCTTCCCCCTCTTCTTCTCCTCCTCCCCCCTCCCCTCCTATACTTCCTCCTCCTCCCACTCTTCCCTCTCCTCTTCTTCTTCTTCTTCTCCTCCTCCTCCTCCTCCCCCCTCCCCTCCTTCTCCTCCTCCTCCTCTTCCTCCTCCTCCTCCTCCTCCTCCTCCTCTTCTTTATTTTATTTTTATTTTATTTTATTTTTTATTATACATTTTCCTTTACTATACATCAGGTTTCCATTTCTGCAAGGACAGTGCACTGTTTGTATCAAGTCTCTTTTGAGCATACATAATGTTATACACCCTGTTTATAACCATTGTTTTCATAATTATACAATGTGATCTCTTTTAAATAAACATAATCTTGTCCGTCCTAGTTATAACCGTTATTCTCATAGTTATACCATAACACTCCATACGCTTGTCACTCTATCCACTTTAATCTATAGGCGAGTACAGTCCAATGGTAATGTTACTTATAGTATATATGCTTATATATATTTGTGTGTCTTTTTCTTTTTTCATAGGCTTTTATGTGCATATTCTTTCTAGCCAGGTTCCACCTATGTAAACTAAGTTGTTCTTCAGCCCTAGTTCTGTGAAATCTCATTCACAAGTTTCTTGGCTTTTTGTATCCTGTATATATATATATCTATACATATGTATTTATTTCTATTTTGTTAATCTTCTATCGTTATTAAGTTACTAATCTCTGCACCTGAACACAAACATTTTTATTTTATTTTATTTTTTTACTGTTCAGGTTTGCCCAATGTGGGAAAACAAAAACTAGCCAATTTTGGCTTGAGAAAGAGGCCAGGGGAGCTCAGCCTCAGAAAGAGACACCCCCCCCCCCAAATGGAAGATCTGGATTTGAATTAGGGTACTTGGGGAGGGAGAAGAGGGAGGGGGGTAAACTGGTAAACTCATTTTAGCCCAATCTGAGTAGATCAAATTTATGTTCTCTTCGGCAAGCCAAGAATTTTGAGACTGAATGAGGAAGTTGGTGTTTGGAAATCAGATTTTCCGCCATAGACTTTCAAGTAATAAGTGAAGTTGTTTCTGAATCATAGTTTCTCCTGGTGATCATCTCACCATCTCCAGGTTATGTTTTGGCAACAAAAAAGGAAAGCCGGTTAGCTTTCTTCTTGGTTTAGTTTGAGGCTAAAGGCCTGGGATTTCCTGGTGGTCTCCCATCCCGGCAATACTTCAGTTTTTCGAGATCTGCCAAGGGTTGCTTATGAATGGCAAACAGGAGTTCAGGGAAGGTAGAGCTTTTTATTCCACTTGATATCTCACTTTATACAAGCGATGCACCGAATTAGGCCGGTGAGGAAACGCAGGCAGTCCTCCACTTACAACAGTTCATTTAGTGACCATTCAGAGTTACAACATTTGCTGAAAAAAGTGACTCAGGGCCATTTTTCACGCTTTCGACCTTTGTAGCATCCCCATGTGCGTGTGACCAAAATTCAGACCATTGGCAACTGACTCATATTTATGACGGTTGCAGTGTCTTGTGATCCCCTTTTGCGACCTTCTGATGAGCAAAGTCAATGGGGAAGCCAGATTCACTTACCAACCGTGTTCTTAATTTCACAAGTGCAGTGATTCATTTAACGACGGCAGCCAGAAAGGTTGTGAAATGGGGCAGAACTCACTTAACAAATGTCTCACTTAGCAACAGAAATGTTGGGCTCAATTGTGGTCGTAAGTCAAAGACAGAATCCCTTGCTTGTTACCAGTATTTTATTTATATATATACAGTAGTGGCCAAAATTGTGGAAACCTTTTGGGAAAAGTGTATTTTTGAGGTTTGATGGCTAATAACACCACTTTTTTTTTTTTTTTTGGAGTTTCAAGATAATCATATTCCACTGCTGGAATGGCCTGGGAATAGCCCAGACCTTTTACCCAATTGGAAATCTATAAAGCTGACTAATGGAACTTGTTAGTCAGAAGCGACCCAGCAATAAAACCCAGTTAATAGAAGCCATCATTCAATCTGGGTTTCACATTAGAACAGCTGCAGAACTAAAAGACTTGGTTCACTCCATGGGAAGACATCATAAGGCTGTAATTCATGTTAAAGGTTACCCAACTAAGTATTAACTGACATGGTGATAATTTTCATATTTCTTGTTTTTGTTTTTGTTTTGGTGATAGTTTTTGTATATCTCGACTTTTTTCTACATGTTTCACTTTTCTTCTTTATACTGTAACTGCTATTCTAATAGCAAATCCTTCATAAAAGTGATTGCATTATATTCTTGATTAAATTATCTTTCCATTGATATATAATTTTATGGTATTACTCCCCCCCCAAAAAAAAAGTGGTATTATTAGCTAGTTTTAGAAAATACACTTTTCCCAAAAAGTTTCCACAATTTTAAAATCTATTAAAATCTATCTATTAATCCTTCGCTATTAAAATCCAGCAGCAACTTCTGGAAGTTGTCTTAAGTCGGAATCTGCAATTTTCTGCTCCAGTTAAATGCCAAAGTCCCATTTATCCTATGCTTTTGCTCCTGTGCAATTATACACACACACACACACACACACACACATACACATTTACATACATACATATTTATTTTCTGGAGAAATGTAATGAGGGCCTAAAATGTTTCTCAGAATCTGGGGAATTTTCTAACTATTGCAGTGTTGTAAGAGAAAACTATGCAGTTTTCTAACTATTGTGTGTGTGTGTGTGTGTATGCGTGTGTGTTTGTTTGTTTCCTCTTTTTCTTTCTGGGACTGAAGCCCCAACAAAAGAGTTGCTGGTGCCTATCTTCTGCAGTTCTTCATAATGTTGTGACTTAGACTCATTCCTGTTTTGGCTAGTTGTGTTGTAAATAAATCCGGTTGAAGGACAATCTCACCCACTCCCATCATCTCATTTTCCTGCATACCAGATACCAGCTCACTGCTGTATCCAGGGCCTATTTTTGGAGACTGCCTGTTGGAAGGACAGCTAATTATCAATGTATGAAAACAATGTATTCCTAATCCTTGCAAGAAAAAAGATGGCATGCAGATTATGGGGACTTGATATTATTTTTT